TAGAATAGAATAGAATAGAATAGAATAGAATAGAATAGAATAGAATAGAATTAAATAGGATATTGGAATGTAGAATAGAATAGAATAAGAATGAATAGAATAGAATAAGAATGAATAGAATAGAATTCTTTATTACTTTTTTGCTTTCTTCCCTTGCCATATATATTTCAATAGTATTTTATTAATATCTTCAAAATATTTTCCCCCAATTTTATTGGAATTGTTTGAAACAAATGCAACACTTTGGGTAATATGTTCATCTTAATCGCCGCAATTCTTCCTGTTAATGATAACTGCATATTACCCCATTTTTCTAACTCTTGTCTTCATTTGTTGTTTGAGCTTATAATAATTACCTTCTTTAATTGTTCCACATCTTGCCATCAACTGAATGCCTAAATATTTAACTTTCTTTACTATCTGAATATCTGTCCTCTTTGTCAATTCCTTTTTTGTTTGTTTGTTTCTCTGTCATGTTTTTTTTTGCCAATATCTTAGTTTTTCCTCTGTTTATTTTTAATCCAGCCATTTCTCCCATACTCCTCTATTTTGTTTGTCAGCTTGGGTCGTGTCCCTAGAGGCTTTTCTTACACAAGCTGAACGGCAAGCAACGTTTTTTAAATTTGGTTATTTACGTACAAGTCGTCCTTGACTTACAATGGTTCATTTAGTAGCCGTTCCAAGTTACAAAAGGTGATTTATGACTAAATATTCTATTATTATATTTTATTATCTAACCATTGATAGAAAAGGTCCCAAACTTCATAAAATTGTTTATCTTCTTGTTCTCTAATTTCAAATGTCAATCTACTCATTTCAGCACATCCCAATATTTTCTTAATACTTTCTTCCTCTGATGGTATTTTCTCACTCTTCCAATTTTTAGCAAATACAATCCTAGCCGCTGTTAACACATTGAGTGGCTTTCAAGAGAGGCCAATTAAATCACTGATATTGAATGCAATGTCCATTATAATTAGGATCAAAAGTCTGGAGAATTTGCTTAATTGATCTGTTAATCAAAATCAGGATGAGAATACGGTGCCTTTGATAACTTCAGATAAATTGCAATTTTAATTAGGAGGATTAAAATCCCTAGAAATAAATTGAAGTTTATTTAGGGGCATTAAAATCCCTAGAAATGAATTGTAGTTTATTCCTAAGGAAAGCGATAAAGCAGGCTGGCTGGTGGATTCTGGGAGTTGAAATCCACCCCTCTTAAAGCCTGCTGGCTGTGGGATTCTGGGAGCTGAAGTCTTAAAGTTGCCAAGTTTGGAAAAGAATATTTCAATTCTTTAGAAGGTTCCCTATCCAGCCAACTGGCACATAGATGCCTGCAAGTCATTTTAATATCTCATTTTTCCATCAACTGAGTTGTAAACAAAAACGACCCAGTAGCTTTTCTTTTAGGAATCAGGAAATCCTGTAAAATTACAAAATGGTCGTAAGACGAGAGGATATAGCAACCCTTAGAGTGGTGCCAAGCAGCCTCGCCTTCCATCTTCCGGAAAAGACAAGGCCACAAACCCACATTCGTGGCTTGACTCCCTCATCTCTGTCTCTTTCTGTAGATACCTTCGCCAGCAAGGTGGCCGCCATCCAAGACCAGTACGCCGATGCTTCCATCGGTAACGTGACGGGCAGCAATGCGGTGAACGTCTTCCTGGGCATCGGGGTGGCCTGGACCATCGCCGCCAGTTACTGGGCCAGCCAGGGGAAGCCCTTCGAGGTTCAGCCAGGCACCCTGGCATTTTCCGTCACCCTCTTCACCATCTTTGCCTTCATCAGCATCGCGGTGCTGTTGTACCGGCGCCGGCCTCCGGTGGGGGGCGAGCTGGGAGGTCCCCGAACCCCAAAACTGCTGTCCACCCTGCTTTTCATCAGCCTCTGGCTGGTCTACATCCTCTTAGCGGCTTTGGAAGCCTATTGCCATATCGAAGGTTTCTGAAGCGGCAGGTTCGAATCCAGGACTTTGGGATTCCGGAGAGGACCTCACACCACTCGGAGAGCCTCCTCCGTGTGAAAAAGTGCAGGGCCTCCTCCACCCAGCCCCCCCCTTTTAATCCCCCTCTCTCCGCCGCCCGATTTGCCACTTTGGCGTCCGATTTGGGGTGTGCTCAGGTCTCCGTTTCAGCAAGGACCAGGTGGGACCCCGCCCCCATCTGGGTTTTGGAGTGCCCCAAGTCACGAGTTCGAGACGGTGTCTTGGAGAAGACTTAAGGGGGAAGGAAAAAAATTTGGGTGTGGGGGGGAAAGCCGTCCTGGCTGTGCCTGACTGAGTGGTGGAAAGAATGGGTTCGCACACATCTGTCCAATTTCTCTCGTTCTCCTGCATTAAATCGAAGGCTTTGGACCCAGGTGAGAGAAGACACACCTTCGGTCAATGCTCCAAGAAATTAAAAAACAGGGGAGCAGGATATGTTACCTCTCTCGTCCACCCTGCCCTACTTCAAGCCACGGTTTAGCAGAAGGAAACTTGCTCATGCCCGGATGTCGGAAACGGCTTCCGAAACCGAGTTTTTTGGAATGAAGCAATTTGCACAAAATATGCTCTCCTCTTCGTCTCCCATCCATGACAAGAAGAAGGGAAGCGGCCAGGCCGGGCCAAGAGGGGGGCAACAATCCCAAAACTGCCAATTTATCTCAAGCACAGCCCAGTCTCTCTTTAAAGGCCAACCTTCGCGCTCTTCCCGAAAACAGCACAAAACATCTCTACAAACGGCAGAAGTCGAAGCCAATTTTCAACTCAACTGAGCCATGCAACAAGTTTTACTTTTTGGGGTCACTTTTAAAGCAATGTACGCCGTCCGGTGAGAGCCATGCCCAGTTTGATCACCTCCTTTGGCTGCTGTCATTAAGTGAGTCACGTGGTCAGGAAGCAAAACCCCGGCTTTCCCTGCCGCTTTATGAAGCTTGCTGAGAAAATCAACGGCATTCGTAGCCCCCACTCCCCGAGATCCTCCAACCATACGCCTAAACTTTGGGTCACGTGATCGGGGGGGGTCGCAAGTGAGAGGACCCATTGTACATCGCTCTGTTCGGTAGCGCCCTAACTTGGAATGGGTCGCTAAGCCGATGGTCGTAACCGAGGACTACCTGCACTCAAAAGTCACTTCATCGACTGTGTCTTCAGCTGGAATATCTGTGTTTTCTGTGTGTTTTTCAGCCCACTGTGCCCTTTCCTTCCCCCCACCAAAATGGGGGAGCCTCAGGACCCCCCCAACCCTGTTTGCATGGCAGCTCCTGTGCTCCCCCCCCGCCCTGCGCCCCGGCTGATCTCTTGCCTCTGTCTGTCACTTTGTCGCAACGTCCGAATGTCCATCTTCGGCCCTTACCTGCAGTCTGGTTTCTCCCACCATGTGCAACCGGGCGACACCGCCTGCCTGCCTGCGCTTAACTTCGGATCTGTTTTCTGTTTCGTGCGTGATCTATTTGTGTGAGTTTGTGGTTTTTCTAAAAAAAAAGAAAAAAGGAGAAAAGAAAAACCTTTTCTTTTCTTTTCTTTTAAAAACATCGAAAATTCCTTGGGGGCGGTTGTGCGTTGAACGTTTTTTTTCCCCACTTGGTTAAAATGGGGCCCGGAAATCTCGTTCCATCGCAGAGGGGCTCGCATTGACCTCCCATCCACGGCTGGGAAAGGGAAAGGTGGGTCTATCAAAGGGATCCATCCAAAGGGATCCATCCAAAGGGATCCATCCAAAGGGTGGGTTCCGTAAATCGGACTTAACAGCAAGAGCCTTGCAGTCCTTTGGATGCATAAAAGGGATCCGCAAACAGCATTTCTATAAATCAAATATATAACAAGGGTGGATTTATAAAAGGGAACTATCGAAAAGGGGTTCCATAAACTTACAGCAAGACTGGATCTATCAAACGAATCCATCAACAGCATTTCTATAAATCAAATATACTATATAACAAGGGTGAATTTATAAAAGGGAACTATCAAAAAGGGGTTCCATAAATTTACAGCAAGACTGGATCTATAAAAGGGATCCATCAACAGGATTTCTATAAATCACACAAGGGCAGATCTACAAAAGGGATTTATAAACAATCTTTTTAAAAGGATGGATCTATAGAAAGAATCTATCGGGGGGGGGGGGGTTGGGGCTTTCTATGGTCCCGGTCTATTAAAAGGGTGAACCTATATATAAATCAAGACTTACAAAAAAGGTGGTTTTTGTACAAGCTGGTGGCCCTCGAAGGGGTTGGGACTACAACACCCATCATACCCAATTGGTACAATATTTTGGGGTGGCAGAATAATGTGTTGTAAACCCGGGGTGTCCAAACTCTGCAATGGTTCAGATTGGTGGACTTCCAACTCCCAGAATTCCCCAGCCAGC